AAGCTCTGTTGTGGACAAAAAAATATCCCTGGAGGTACGCGTCATGAAGGAGCGCTTCCTGTCCCTCGGAGGCAGCTTGCGCTAGATGTCGTCTGAGCGCCAAATGGCAGATGGTCTCACGAAGGAGAGTGCGAGAGTCGTATTCGCCCAACGACTTTGCCATAGAAAATTGAAACTGACTTAGGACCCTCACTACAAGGCTGCAAAAAAGAAAACTAAAGATGAATTCCAAACAAGCTTGCAAGAGACCACCACCGCAACCCGCCCAGTGAAGTTGATGTCGGCGCCAACTCCTATCTGCGAGGTCGAAGAGACCGAGGTCATGAATGGCGAATTCCCTCTGGATAACAATATTCCGGAGAAGAATTGTGACATGAATACCGAACATGACATAGCCCATGCCCACCTGGTTCATATTGATGGAATAATCAAATATGTCTTCCGGGCCGGCCCGAGCCATAACGCGCCTTGCGTTGTGCCATATGTCGCCGGCAATCACCTGAAATATTTAATGATGGTTATGTTGTTTTTCTTTTTGCCTTATGTGGCAACGGCAACCACTGAGGAGGAAGAAACAACAAAAGGACCTAATAGTTTTGAGGTAATCGTCATTATGGTGATTACCATATTATTAAGCACCGTCTTCATGTTTAAGCGTTAGAGCGCAACAAAATTATCACCGCAACAGAGATCGGAATGCAGAAAGAAGAAATCGTCATTCCTCAATGTCTAGGAGCTAAGAATAAGAAATTCTATTTAAAAAAAAATAAATAAAAATTTTAGAACACCAATCCTAATGAATTTCAACGAGCGACCGACAAACTACTAGCAATAGGAATTTCTTTTCTCCGGATTTCCATTCATAAAATAGATAATTATCGTTCCAAATATCCGCCAAAAAAGAAAAATTTAATCTACCGGCGAAAACGCTTCCTCCTATCATTCCCCAAAACGTATCCTTCTTCTCATCTTCCTATTCCTTTCGTTCTTTCTTTTCCTCTGCTCCTCTTCCCTTTTCCTCTTTCGTTTTGTTAACTAACAACCTATCGTTTTTTCAGCGTTTTGAAGCGGAATCCGCCCTTCCTCTTCCTTTTCCTTCTTCCCACGCTCACTCTCACTCTCACTCACCACCACCGCCACTTCTGCTGCTACACCTCTAGACCTCCCATACATTGTTTGGGATCTTTTACCGGGCATGTTATTTAATATAGAGATTTACTATTATTATTCAATTTCCCTCCCATACGAGATTATATATCTATATATATATATTGATCTATTTATATATTACATATATATACCATATGTTTTTAAGATATCATACATCAATTATTAATCTTTTGTCATTTAATACATGTTTGATGATTCCCTAATCGTATTCCAAGGTTTATTGTTTGCATTCCTGGTCCTGAGAGTGTCAGAGTCAATTCTATTGAATCAAATATCAAAAGACATATCATATACAATCTTATATTGTCTTATATTTGGGTAGCGATGACGAATGATGCATGTATTTCCTCCTAGCCAACAACACTCTCTATCACTCAACCATACTCAACCAACCTTCTGCGCCTTCACACATTGATCCTCAATTCGTCTGCAAATATTACAGGACTTCTCGTCGCAAACGAACCTGACAGAACAATGGCTTGTTCATCTCTAGTCGGAGCCCGGAAAGAGCATTCGACCGCTCCAAAACACCAAAAGAGTTCAACAACGATTGGTTCATGAAGAAAGCAGCATCTCAAGTTGCAAATAAATAGTTATGGTGTTATGGTGGTTGATCAAAATGCCTTCTTGCTGAAAGGACATTCTTCGCAAAAAAACATTACTTTCGCGAATCTTTCGCGAACTCCATGTTTATCTTTCTCGGGGGTATATGCTCCAGACATCTTCTTGGTTTGGTGGCTTGACATAACAGCCCAAGGGATCTGTTACGCATCCAAACAAACTACCCGAGGTGACGACGCCTTCTGGCGCCTGTGGGTGGCGTGTTACATCTCTCCTGAAACCCCCTGAGGAGGACCATTTCAAGAAAGTTGAGTAAAAATGGGGTCGTCAATTTGGACATTAGTTTTTGTTATTTCAAGTACCTGAGTAATAAGAGTTTGTTTCCATCAGCAATCAGGATAAATTGGGATCAATCATCTTAAGCATGAGACACAATGCTCAGAGAGAAGGACTCCCTTCCACGAAATGATTGGACTCAGTCTTGGTGTAAATTCTCTTTGTAGCAACATGGCATGAAAGCTGTGACATTCTCTCTTAAAAAAGCCATAGTCTGCTCTGTCGGTTTTCAAACGGTCCCAATTGGTCAATTCTTTCACCAAAGTGCTCAGCGGGAAAACCGCCATACGGTGCTTTTCACTTCCAGCGGCAAGCCTTCGACAAGTGCAGCAGGAACTCTTGTCCCGTGACATCTCCATCAGCTCTGAGGTTTTTGCGCCAGAGCCATTGGTACACACGGCGTTCCAACGTTGCATTCATGCAACTGACGCCTTTCATTGTTCCTTTTCTTTTTACCTGCTTCGGCATGAAGCGCTTCAGGCTTCCCCAAGCAGCATCGATGCACTGCGTGCCTCCGACTTTACTCAGCTTGGGCCGAGGAGCACGTCGAAGCTGCACTGCGTATTGTCGTTGCTGGTGTGACACCTGAGCCACAGGGATCTTCAGCTTCTTGGCAAAGGTTCGCCAGCTCGGAGCACCATCTGAGTAGATTGCCGTGTTCTTGTCTGCTCCAATGTACTTTGCAAGGCCTGACCTGTCAATCTCCCGAATCGATTCGACAGGCGGCCGAGCGAAGAGTAACCTTCGGCGTCATGAACTTCACCACCATCAAGCCACCCCGCTGGATGGCGCCGACGACACGCACATGGACTGGGTAAGACTTCAAACAGGCCCGTTTCTTCTGCTGCAAATCTTGGATCTGGTCCGCGTAGAAGATGTTGTCAGGCTTCACAAAGAAGCGGCCGAGTGATGTGGCATCACACTCGATCTCCTGGCGGAGCCGGATCAACGACATTGCCTTCTTGCCTGCTGCAGCTTCACGCTCCGACAGAACACGCAAGAAGTTGTCCGCCAAGTTGTAAGACACGCCGTGTGCATGCACCAGGTCTGTGGCCACCACAGCTTTGGTATGGGACATGTTTGCGTAGCGCACCTACATCCGAAACAAAATCAACCAACGGATCACCTCCCACCGGGTACGAACCAACATCAATTAATCCGTCCAAAAAGAAGGGGTCCACACGAAAAAAAACCTCTAAAGATGACTCAGAAACGGTAACAAAACCACGCCCCCCCCCCGAACCCCCCCCCAACACACCTGTAGCTCACAGAAGGACAAAGTCATATATCAAGCACACTAGATACTGCATTATTGGAGGTTATTACATATCAGGCACAGGCGCCTGGAGGCGTTACCAGCAACTACCCGGTCTCTAGGTGGTCGTTTCATTCTGATCAAGAACAGCAGCGAGCATTCGCGTGCACAAGCGATCCAGGACAAACACCGCGCGTGCACACGATCCGGATTCTGCGTGTACAAACAAACCGGGCAGGGGTCCACAAAACAGTCCTTCACATTCGCCTATGCTTTTCTTTCGCGGAACTTTCGCGAAACTTTCACCAAAACATGTTGCTTCATTGGTGGGCTTCTAGGCCCAAAGCGAAACAACAAAAGAGTTACTATACAGCCTAGGGATTGCGCATCGCAAGTGTGAGCTATAGATTGTGCAATGTAAAGGCTTGTGAATGTGCCACTGATGACTGACTGTGCCTAGGAGCATGGCCAAGCCAAACCACCAATGTGAGTGAGCTAGAAGCCTAAAGACTGCATCGAAAGTCAGGAATTAAGGCTCCTCCTGAGTGAAGGAAGCATGAAGTATACATAGTTCTAACATAGAGTGTAAAATCAAGAAAACTTTCGCGGACAACTTGAAGAGGCCCTCAGTGACATAGGGCTTATGTCGACCTTTCGATCGACTACCATATGTAAATCCTCCGGAGATGTAGGACCCTTTCCTTTTATCTATGGGGAGCCATTTCAGGATCCTGGATGGCATCTTCCTCTCTTTTAACAAAATGCCACTAGTGGACACATGTTCTTCAGCGACAAGTCACTGCAGTCATGCATGTCAGACTATTCCGATCTATTTCGCCTATGAACCGCTTTTTGTTTAATGCAACCAATTGAACTATATGGCAAAATGTGAGACTTGTCTTGACATTTGGCAGGCTTGTCCAAGACCGGGCCTTGCGGTGCACTGTGGATCTGGCATTGAAGGATCGCAAGCATCAACAGAGGTGCCGCTGCCTCAAGTGGCTTGCCCGTGATCAAAACGCATGGCTTGGTGGGTGACCTTCCCAAGTACAGTTTGGCATTGTGTTCAATCCGGGTGCACGAGGCTAGCAGGCCATCGCTAGTAGGTTGGAGGCCATCGCTATTAGGTACATGTGAAAGAATCTGTGAAAGAATCCGGGTGCACTAGGCTAGATCTAGAAATGCTTACACGAATTTTGAATGCTGCCAACGCTTCATAAGGGCAAGTGCACGTTGCCGTCGGCTTCAACTGCACGCATCAACCGGTTCGACTGATCCTCGAAACATGAAAGCCTATGTCCATGCACATTGCAAAATCAACCATTTAAGAAAGCAAGCTGCTAAAAGCACCCCTCCTTCACAATGCTGGAGGCTGTCAGAGGCTTGACCAGCAAGCAGCACAATGAGATTCCCAGAAACATGCGCAGCATGCTGTGCTCAGCAAACAACTGCAAACTTGAGCCACGGAGCTCTGGAACAGCCAGACTGTGCTTCAAACATTGAGCACAATTTGACCCATTGTTTTTGCTTGCTACGTTCTCGAAACTCGAAAGCAACATAGAATTTGATTGATTGCACTAAGCTGAAACCCTACAACAATCAACACCCATAGCTTTGGATAGACCTCAAGGGCCTGTGCTCATCAACTTACCTCCTCACAAGTAGCTTTGCTTGTTTTCAATGTCTCAGAGTCGGCGATGAATTTGGCGATTGTCAAGCCATCAAGGAGCTTCATATCAGTGAAATCCTGATCCCTCCTCAATGGTGGCTGGGAAGGGGAGTCCTCCCACCAACTCCCACCTATAGAACTCCGAGTAAAGAACTCAGTCTCGAGCCATTGATCAGTTGATCTGGAGACAAGGCCAAACATCTACTGCACATTGATCTGGTGGTACAGCCCCTTCATGCTTGGACTGCCGGAGCCTAAGGCTCGACGACAGGCAGCATTAAAGGCCAGTGGGTTGTCAAGGAACATCTGATGTCCTGCGTTCTCGATGACCAACCTTGGAATGCTCGAACTGCATACAGTTCGTCAGAAGTGACACGATTTGGAGGGCAACTCTTGTGTCTCATGATGTCTCAAATTTCACTGTTAAGCTTCCCCCAAAATCTAGAAACCAAATCAGTAGCGTGAGCTATCCTGCGTCCTAAGTAGTAGCTACTTAAGCTACTAGCTGCCTACCTAGCTACTAGCTACCTACCTCACCTCCTAGCGGCCTACCCCCGTTTTAAGACATCAATATATAATCCTTATATAATTCATCTCAAGGCGTCAAGGACTTTTTGAAACAGGGTGTTGATGGACTCTTGTAGGAAAACGACAAAGTGTGGCTCACCATAACTAAGGAATGGTACACATCGTATTGCAAAAGAGCCACGCTGACAAATGCTAGAATGCACATGATATGTCAATATCAAGATATATGAAAAAATTAGTCACAAAATTTATCTATGCAAATCGAGATGGTCATCTCTGTGGGGTAGCTTTTGCCCAGCTCCCTAACCAGCCAGGCCCCAGCACGTGCATCCATCCAATCTGTGTCCCCATACAGGAGCGTCACCTTGGGAGGGACAAGTTCTGATTTTGGTGGGCCTTGGCAGATCAAGCTCTCTACCATCTTGTAATGGATGTCACCATATTGTCACCGACATTCGCTCGAGTGGAATTGCGTAAGACAGCTTGAAATGAAAAATCTCTCCAAATTTAAGATCATGGCGCAAATATGTTCAAGTACGCCTCACACAGGCTACAAAATCTTCCCAAAGGCCTCAACACAGCTTGCTGATGGTCCACCCCGTCTGCTTGTCTCTGAGCCACCATATGGGACAACACTGGAGACTCAAGGTCTCATCATCTAATTTGCATCAACTGTTTTGCCAATGAGATTTGAGATACCTTGTGCAAGTGGGTCGTATTCTAGACACAATCTAAACCTTACACCCTGGGAGTAGTTGTTTTTCGTTCTGGTTTCTCAATTATCACATATGAAGTACGAAAAACACTGAAATAATTGAAGTATAAGCCCAATCTTGAAGATGTCTGACATGGACATGCCATATCATGCCATCCGCCCCCCGTTCATTCGCCCAAGGACCGGAACTTCGCCGACTTCGCGTTGCAGCTGCTCCACGAGGCGCGGTGCCACCGGGTGCTTCGCCCAGGCCCCAAAGTCCAACAAGGCGCCCAAGCAGCGCTCTGAGCCCGGAGAACGGCGAGCCAAGGCATGGAGGTACTGGGCAAAGGCTGAAGAATCCAGTTGCCTTCAAAAGTTACAGAACGGACAAAGCAACGGCAACTGCCACTTAGCTCAGCAATGACTTTTTAATAATAATGTTGAAAGATGCTGAAACATGTTGAAAGGATGCTTACAGTATGATTCGTCCCATGTTGTCCTGCTGTCCTATTCTGGCATTTGCTTCCTCGAGTTGTTGTTCATTCAGTATTTGTCCAGATGTACGCAACAGATTGCAAAAGATGCCTCCAGACGTACGCTGTTGACAGAACACCCCCAGATTGTCCAGTGCTGTGGCGCGGGTCCTTGTTGGGCACAGTTGACAGCTGTGTTCTTTCATATGCTGCATAGATTTGTGTTCACGTCCGATGTGTCTCGAGCAATCTTACATAAGGCACTCCGGGATCCACGTCCTTCTTTGTGCCATCCAAGTGGTCCTGTTGAAATACATCAGGGTGCACTTCAATGTGTTGTGTTTGAAAGAACATGAAAGAACCACAAAGAACCCCAAACCAAAAAAGAGTCCTCTCGTGTAAACATTGTAGATATTATAGATATCTGACATTATAACACACAAAACAAGTTTCCTGGAAGGCACTACTGCTGGGTAATGTTATGGTATATTTGTTGATTAGGCTGGAAAGCAAACATTTGTAGCTGATTAGACTAATTTTGGAGCTGTTGTAGCTGGCAAAATACATTGGAATAGTGTAGGTGTCAAAGAAACTCCTACCTATCACAACAGTTTGGTGCAGTTAGCAGAGAAACAGTAAAGAGAAAGAGAACTAGCACAGGAGGCATATATATATATATGATTGGTTAGAAGTGTTTTCCCCGGGAGTTCACCTTAAAATATTGATTTCGTGGCAGGCGCGGGTGTCGGAGATGAAGTTCAGATTTCGTGGCGCGGGGGGGTTGGGAGGGGGCGCAGCGCCCCCCCAGCAGCACACCAGATCCAAACATTAGAAAGCAAACAAATGGAAAAGCAAAAGCACAAAGAGAAAGGAGAACCGCTGCCAAAGCAGAAAATAGCAACAAAGGCAAAAAGCAGAAAGACAAAAACACAAAAAGCAGGAAAGCAACAAAATCAAAAAGCAGCAGAAGCAAAAAAGCTGCAAAAGCAGAAAGGCAACAAAAGAAAAAACAGCAGACGCAAAAAAGCAACAAAAGCAGAACAGCAGCAAAAGCAGAATCCGAAACAAATTCCAACAAAACAGTTAAACAATACGACTACGACAAAAACCGCCCATCCTTACAGTAAGTCCCTTTTGCTGAACTTTGGTAATCTTTCAACTCAGGACATGCATCTTGCACATGATTGAAAGCCAGGTGACATGGTGCCCAGCTCTCGGGCGTGCCGAAAGCGGCGATCCATGTACCAGTCTGTGAGCCAAAGACCCAAGGGTCCAAGGACTCGGACGAAATCCATGGGCGTCCAACCTGTGGGCGTCCAATCCATGGTCGTGGAATAATAAAGAAGCTAAGAAGCGTCCGATCGCTCCGTTCGTAGCGATGCCCTCTGTTCCTAGTAGTTTCTTGCTCCTAGTAGCGATGCCAGGCGTAGAAGAAGACAGCAGCACATATAGTTGGAGTAATTTCCCTAGATCAAATGTTGCAACTCAAAGGTCGTACAAGGAATATTAAACAATGTGTGTTGCCAAATACCAATGTGACATATATCATATATCCTGTGCTGTCTATTCTGCAGTTCACGATGGCTTTAGCAAATATGTTCAGCAAAACAGCAACCCCTACTACTACAATTTATGCATCCAAGAGAACCCCCTACCTTTGGTTCCCGAAGCTCTCTGGCCAACTGATTGCGAGGCCTCCTTCCCACATACTCTTGATTCGATAGAAGAGAAAGCGTTGCCACCAGGGCAAAGACTTCAGACGATCTTCGGAAAATCCAGCGTCGGGTTGCTTACCTCGGCGCTCGCTCTTGCGCATCAAATTCAAACCTGAATAGTTAAAGGAATATTACAACACATACATTGTACTGCATATATTCAATCCACCCATGAGTCGTCCTGCATCCCGCCTGACAACGATCTCCTATACTCTCACTATTCGAGAAATCCTGCCATGTCAACACATGCAGGACGTTGTCCAAGAGTCCAACCAAGAAATTATATACACATCTCTCTGGACGTTGTGGGTCCGACACAGGTGCCATAATCGTCATTTTACTACTGGACACTCTACTGCTGCGCACGTATCCAAAGCAACAGTTTTCCATTCAAAGTCCCAGAAAGACTCAAGAATCCTCGACAAATGCACCACTGGAAACCCTCTGACATGTTCTGCAGGATCCTCCGGGCAATATAACAATAACACCTTCCACTCAGACATGAATTCCATTAGGCTGCCCATCATACCCACCGGGCTCGCGAGGATGAGTTTCTCGACGTGCTGGGGGTATTTCATCGTATAGCAAGCGGCAAAGTAGCCTGCAGCATATCTGGCGAAGGAAGGACAATTTTGAATCTTGAATACAAGCAAGTCAAGAGTTCCAAAAACATCAGACTCCATCCGAACAATAATCTACCCTTTGGTCTCTCCTACGAGCTGTCTTATCATTCCTGCCCTTTGCCACGTTCATACAGGAAACTGTGAGTACACCCACGAACACTTACGTACATATCATCTAGCTTCCGCGCCAAACCAGTACAGTAGTCTTTTAGTACGTTTCAAACCCCAGGTTCTACCAGCTGTTGGAGGCCATCGTCTTTAGGTTGGAGGTTATCGCTTCTAGGTAGGGGAGCAGCGTTTCAAACGGTTCTACCAGCTGGCCTCCAAAGCTGTGGCCCAACAAAACCACACGTTCGAGGCCAACAGACTTTCGCCAGCTCTCTATGCCATCCACGAAGAACTGCTCGCAAGCATCGATACCCTGAATGCCAGGACTGGCGCAGCTTCCCAAATGAAGGAATTAGGGTTATTCGGACTTTCTTCTACATCTGACACCTCCCAAAGCTCCCTGCTTCAAGTTCATCTCTGGATCAATTCGGCGCTCTGACCAAATGAATGCAACCCGAGAATTCTTTGCACCATTCCAGCATTTCTTCTCATGACGCCCACAGGCAAATGGGCAAAAGAGCTGAAATCATGAAACTTCTTGAAATCTTGAAATGTCTGCACTATCGGCTATACAAGTCAAAGTTGATATGGTTCCAATCCAAAGCGACAGTTCAGGGAGTTCAGGATCAAGCCAAAGAACGCACAATGGTCCCCAAAGCATCAAAGCATGGAATGCTTCGGAATTGGTCGGAACAAATCCCCCTTCTTTCATCTCAATTCCTCTTTCGTCTATCGGTTTCTTCAGGATTTCTAGGCAGTGTGGGCCCGTGGGCCTGCCCCGCCGGAAAGGACGACCGAGAGGAGAGTCCCCAGCTGGGCCAGTCGATGGCATAGACATTGCGCCCGCTAGAGGCCAAGGCATCAAAGCTATGTGCCCAGGAGGCCGATCCCATGAAGTATCCATGGACGAGGACCTGACATGATTCGGGCTTAATTCTCGCTGTGAATTCCAGAAAAAGGTAATGCCACTAGTCACAAATTGTCACACATGTGATGAAAGGTTGTGCAGCAACGATCCTTTGCACTGCGCTACTACTCGACTCTACTTGTTGGATTGTTTGGTACTGTAGGGAAATCAGCACATGTTCAACAGAATTCATCTTGAATCGGATCTCCAAAACGTTTATTTTCAGAATCGAATGCACATAATTGAAAATACAGTTCGAGCTTTCATCCGTAGCGTACCACTGGTGCTCTTCCACTTGAACTTGGAGATATACTCAGCGTGTGTATGCTTCCATCTTTGACAGGCACATCAGTCACGTGGACTTTGCACTTCGTACCTTGGTGCTTCAAGCGGGTTCCAATGCACGCAAAGCAAGGCTTTGACTACAAGGCCAGGAACACCAACCTATCCGAGGCGTTGAAGGACAACAGGCGACATTGCCAAACTAAGCGAAAAGGATTGTAAAGTTATCCCACAAATCTATGAACCAAATCAATCATGCCATGAACCTGGCTCTTCAGCGTCCCTACCTTGCTAACCCCTCTTGCTACATTAGTAGGATTAGTAATTAGGCAAACTTACTTACTTACTTAGCTGCCTCTTCCTACGCTACCCCTCTCTTTACATCCACCCACATACCGAGCTACCTTCTAAGACCTTACTTTCGGCTCTCCGCAGTCGCTCTTCGCTGGACAAAGTCCAGGCCCGAAGCCTTTCCAGAAAAGAGCCAAGGTGAGTACCTCTCACAGTAGCCACAAAAAGGATCAACAAAAAGGACATCAGAGATTTCCACTGCCGACTGCTATATATTATATACTGTATACACTGTTTGTCAATAACGAGGCTACTTCTAGGAACACTAGCTGTGGCTTGCAAAGCTAACCCAGCGCTTGACTCCAGCGCGCCTGAAGAAATGCTTAGTGTCTTGCAGGCTTCAGGAATCATGGCGCTGGCTGAAGATCTTGGCAGTGGCTGCAGCAAAATCCCTGCAAAATCTCTGTGGCTCGCCAGTTGGACACATGTGCGATGGTTAAATTTAAATGCGTGATCTCACCCAACCAACATGGAACGTTTGATGAGTATTCAACACATTACACAAGTATATTCACGTCGCTTCGCGACGGTAACCGCCCGCACCGCATGGAAGGGGACAATATATCCACCGAGCCCCGGAAGGAATCCCGGCAGTAAGGAACACGAGCTGGAAGGGGGTCTTGTGCTCTTGGAGCCAAGGGAGTTAGTATGAAAGGAAGTGCCTTCGTTAGACCATGTTTACGACGTTCAAGTACCTATCTCGGGGAAGCATACTTGAGACTCCTGACCAGCCACGTACCCGGACGTTCAAGTCCCTATCTCGCAGACACGTCCATTAGATAGTGACGTCTAGGGCTATGTTACGTACCAGTTTACGACGTTCAAGTCCCTATCTCGCAGACACGTCCTTTAGATAGTGACTTCTAGCGCCCTGTTAGGCAATATCTTCACTCTAGTTCGACCTTATGGGAGCTATGCTCGTGAGATAATGTTACCGTTCCTGAACCGGACCTGCTTATCTCTGCTCCTGACCAGCCACGTACCCGGACGTTCAAGTCCCTATCTCGCAGACATGTCCATTAGATGGTGACTTCTAGGGCTATGTTACGTACCAGTTTACGACATTCAAGTCCCTATCTCGCAGACACGTCCTTTAGATAGTGACTTCTAGCACTCTGTAGGCAATATCTTCACTCTATTCCAGTCCCTTTGGAGCCTTCGTTAGACCATGTTTACGACGTTCAAGTACCTATCTCGAGGAAGCATACTTAAGATAGGGACTTCTGGGGTTATGTTCGACCTTATGGGAGCTATGCTCGTGAGATAATGTTACCGTTCCTGGACCTGACCTGCTTATCTCTGCTCCTGACCAGCCACGTACCCGGACGTTCAAGTCCCTATCTCGCAGACATGTCCATTAGATAGTGACTTCTAGGGCTATGTTACGTACCGCTCAGATGATTCAGCTGATGCAGATGATGCAAAGCAGAAAATTGAATTTCTTGCATCCCTAAAGGCTTCAAGATAACAAACATTAGCACGAAAGCACTTTCAGCCGGTTCCAAAAACGTGAAAAACACAGGATTCTAGAGCGAAAATGCCCTCCCCCCCTAGCTAAAGCTATCAGTACTACTTGCGGTACTTGCGGTTCATGCGTGCCCTATAAAACGCCTCAGCACCTTCGGTGCGGGCGGATTTATAGGTTCCTCACCAGACTTGCAGGGCTGGTTAAGCAGTGGCTGCCCAGCAGCTCCGACCTCTAGAAACTCTCTGATGATCTTCGGTCTTCAAAATAGCACAGTAATCTTGGCCGAAACCTCAGGGAATATTGAAGAGTTTCTGACACTTGTCTGCTTGCTTTTTGATCCCTTTGATATCTTCAAATGAGAGCGCAGCCCATCTTTGGGGCTTGGACCGCCTGTCGCTTGGACAATACAATCAGTTTGCAGTTGGAGGCGTTCCACAAGGGCGGCTTGGTGCCAGAAGCTGGCGAAACGGGACTTGAAACATGTTGCCACACACAAAGGTGCAGCTCACAGGCTCAACGCTCCTTGGAAAGGCTTCGCACAGAAAATAACCCGCGTCCCCTCTGCCACACATCTTCTTTCAGCTGAACATGTCTTACATCTGAGTGCTTCGCTGTTTCTAGCCACTTCAAGAGTACCTCACCAAGCGCGTAGCATGGGCCATTGAGACCACAAATCCAGTGTACCGAAAGGGCAACATAATTTCATGTTCCCTGGATCAATGACCATAGTATGCCATAGAGTCAAGGGGATGGCATCTCAACACCCACTTTGCCTTTATTGTTTTTTGTTTTACTTTTGCCACCGCTTTGCAGGGCTACTTGCGACCCCACCACAGTGCCCTGAGCCTCTCGTGCTCGGCTTACTTCCAAGAAGCGCTCATGCCTGGCAACTCCCACGGCCATCGAGACCATCATTTTGCCCGCTCACAATTCCAGATTCCAGACTTATATAATATGCGCAAAACTTGGAATGCTGGGAAACCGAAAGCCAGGGCATGTTCAGAAGTCCAAACATCCAACTTTATCGTGATCTGCACATGAGGGGTCAGGGGCCTTCCAGTTCGCAAGAATGCGTTAAAAAAGTTGGAGCTTTGCGCGACGTCTTGCAAAGCAGAGTGTCCCCTCCTTTAAGGTATAATCTTTTCATTGGATCGTTTTTGGTACAAGGAACTGTTTTCCAGACGATTTGCTTTTCAAAAAGGTGTTTTTCGTGTGAGGCCATCACCAAAAAAGAAATTGCAGCATGTACATGTCAAAAGGCGGCTTGAAGGTTTAGAATTTTAATGGTTCTTGCTCGCTGGTCCACGCAAACCATCTTTGTTTATCATGTGGGTTTGGGTGATGTCGGGTGAGGTGATATCCATGCTATATCATAACCCACGTTTGAGTTATCGTTTTTTTGCAGGAAGGGCGCCTAACCATGAAGTAGGCGGACTGCCATTACTCGTTGTTTTTGATAGTTGAACCTCCCAACAACCACTGAAATCACCTACGCCAAAATCAAGTTTCCAGGAGGAGGGATGGAACACAAGGAGAAGATGATTCCCAACTGAGCAAGTGAACCAACTCGTGCCACCGGGGACCGCCCGGCGCATCCTCCCTGCAAAAAAACCGAGGCTTGAAACATGGGTTATGATATAGCATGGATATCACCTCACCCAACATCACCCAAACCCACATTATAAACAAAGATGGTTTGCGTGGACCAGCGAGCAAGAACCATTAAAATTCTAAACCTTCAAGCCGCCTTTTGACATGTACATGCTGCAATTTCTTTTTTGGTGATGGCCTCACACGAAAAACACCTTTTTGAACAGCAAATCGTCTGGAAAACAGTTCCTTTTACACCAACAAAGTTCCAATGAACAGATTATGCCTTCTTTGTGAAAAAAGGCACCTTGTCCTGCACAAAACTCTGCAAATAAAGGTGTTTATTGCATGCAACGCAGCGAAGACGCGGTGGAACTGTGTGTACATGTGCGTACTACTATTCATTATTCAAATCTTTCTCGCCAGGGCACTCACTAAACACCAAACTTCTGCCAGTTGGGTGGCCCAAAAACATGTTCAAAGCCGCTGGTTGCGTGAAGAAGGTGGCTAGGGCCTCCATATTCACCATTCATGGAACTGCTTCTCCGAAACAGCAATGCCACATTTTTGGGGCAGTGCACAACATCCTCCGCAGCCCTTCTGTGAGATAAGGCACGATGTCGTTCACCAAAGCACGGCAAACAATTACAGTACTTTTGTCTGTTGCATGCAGAGCATCACCATGTGGTGTACTGGACCCTGTGGTGTAACTTTGCTTTTGCAAGGACGCTACTAGGGGCTCCTGGCATAGGAGCAAGGACGCTAGGAAAAGGGCTTGGCACTTAAAACAAGTCGGGTGCACGCATCGGGATCCGGCGACTTGTCTGGGTGCAGCCTGTGGCCAAAGGGTCAGCCTCTCATAGTGGGCTTTTTTGATTGCCCCAAGGGTTTGCAAAAGATCAGTGGGTGGGTTTGGACATTACAAGTAAAGCATACAAAGTTGTGCCTTTTGTAAGAAGCGCTCAGCTTGCTTACCAAATTCACCTAATCCCTAGGAGCATGCGTCTCGGTGAAAGGGTCAAACGGAATCAGAAAGGCGAGGACACTGTTTGATATGTCCACTGCTCTCTGCATCACAAAGCTTTCTTCATCTCTGAAAAGACAACTTGCAGGGTAGGATTGAACATATTGAGCCATGTTAAACCAATCGCATAATTTAGCAACGATTCACTTCCCACAAGCCAATATGCAACAGACTTGCTTCTTTGGGATCAGTATCATCTTCTATAGAACACCAAAGTCTACTCAATTCTTAATCAAGCTTGATGAACAAACATGCAGCCCCTTGAATCAGCACATTCCAAGAACAAGGCCACATGCTGCCATGTTCAAGTACGTTGCAGTGCCTTCAATAGGCTTCCTGCACGGTGCTTACTGCACTGAGGGATCCCGGCGGTGCACACCTTTTGCGGTACATAGAATCCACCTGCATCTCAGGAATTTGAATGACAACAAAGGGTGTCTGCGGCTGGGATTAGCCATTGCGCAACTCTCTCTACCAAACTTAAACTTAAACATGTTTGAGCTGCCAAAATAGAACGCTTGACAGGCAACAAGCCATGGATCAAGATTCTTATCCCAAGCACAAACAATACTTCTCCATGCATCCTTCCTTCCTTGTATCTTTACTGCTCAGCGTGCTCCCTCCTTGGTTCTGTGCTCATAGCCAGATTGACCGCAAGATCTAATTATTCCAAGCAAAATTAAACGTCTCCTTTGGCCAATACCATAATAGGTTCCTTCCATAAATTAACCAATGACTTCATCCTTGATGGCATCCGCCTCCCGGCGATCCTTGGGAAGGTAGTGCTCACGAAATCCAAGCCTCATGTTTTGAACTGCATCACGGCAGTGAGTCCACACCGTTTTCTGGTCCAAGGCTTTGGGACCAAATGAGTGTAGAAAGCCTAGCTCAAAAGGTTAACAAATTTCAACACAGCCACTTGGTTGATCCTTGGCATTGCTTACTCATGCCAAGATTAAACCAGTACAGAGTAGCCAGGTCGCACAATTGCACTCAGCTTCAAACATGGCGGCTGCCTCCTCTGCATTCAGTGAAAGCTTCCTTAGTCTGAGCGCTACTTTTGTGAAGTTCTCTTTCCTGAATGATTAAGATGACCAAAGCGGGACTGGCCTATGTAGGTTTAGAACCCGAAGTCCAGGTATGCTACACTTTCACACGCTTTCATGTTGTACACCAAAACCTCACCTGCTCCTGTTGCTGCAGCTGATTTGTTCACAAACACCCATACAATGTGCATGCGAGCATCCCTCGCTTGGCGTTGAATTCTGCGATCCGGTCACCGTATTCCTGGCCCCAACCCAGCTGTATCGAAACAGTTCATGGCAGTTTTGATATGAGACAAAACCAACAAGCACCCTTTGCATGCGGCTGAAGAAACTCCATCGGTCCAGGTATACTATGCTGTCGTACGTTTTCATCTCTGGGCACCTTTGTGTAGTCCTTCACCCATTGCTGGGCACCATCTTCTGAATACCTGGCCGCAGCTTGTTCCATCACGCATACATATAAAAGGAAATATATATTATATATATACACAACATATGGTAATCCCCCTCCCTGGTGCCTATGCTTTTGGGAAATGGACGCGCTTTGCGCAACTTCCAGGGGGAAGGTACCACACATGTATGCACGTCACAGAACATGTTCAACAGATTTCAACAATAAATCAATTGTCTCGGAGTGTGCCTCTGCATCACATTACTGTAATCAGCATCAAAATCCAATCCAAAACCAATGAGAGCTTGTAAAGAACCTCAAGACGGTACCAAATACCAAACTGCCAAATCGAACAACTTCAGTTTGATGTTCAATGGGACTTCATTGCAACGAGTAGCAAACTTTTGTTGCTGCCTTTCAAACATATAATCTACATGAATTCAAGAGATTGAACGATTTTCTTTTACAAGAATCCTATTCTGATCTAAGGGCGGTAGAGCGCTTGCAATTTAATGTATCAACTGTGCGCACACTTCTTTCTCAATGTGTTGCAAGGATTGACCTTCTTTTGTGCGGCAATTGTTCAATGGAATTGGTTTTGTAAGAGCAAGTGTAGGTGATACTTGCTGCTTAATTGCAAGTTTGGCGCATTGTGGATGTTATTGAAAGGACAAGGCTGCTACAGAACATTTTCTAACACCATATGCGGTAGACAGGGATACTTACAACTGTGCTATCATGATATGGGGCTCATACTGGGAAAGGCGCCTTTTGTGTGCTAAGGCTTATGGTAGAGCAAGGCTTCCTTGATGATACAGGACAAGGGTTTAGTGCTGGGGCTCAAGTGAAGGACACTTCTTTTAAAGGCTCCTACGCTGATCAAAGGGTGGCAGGGCGTTCATTTGAAATGCGTCAGGTTTTGTTCACCTTTCCTACTCAATTTGTTGTAATTAGATACATACACATATATATATAATATTTTTAGTTGCAAAGAAAAATCATGGTCCTGGTTGCAGTGGCTCGTTTAAGCATGGCGGGAGATGTTACAGCGGTTTGCACCTGAGTCATCGGTACCGGGGGGAAATATACAAATGTATATATATATAAAATACTATAGTAAAGTATACACACATAAACACACTCAAGATATTGCGTACTGACTCGATTGTGGTTTGCCACTCGCCAGCCTAAGTGAAACCCTAAGGGGCCAGGTCAGGATAGGGAAAGGCGGTCTGATCATCCTCAAGTCTGAACAAACTCAAATTGTGAAAGCTTCCAAGTTCCAAAGCTCAAGGACACGAAAGACGGTCGACGGCGCGTGCAAGTCTGCAGACCTCGAAGTCACCTGACACAGCCTGGTCATCTAGAGGAGGAGGTAGTTACTCAACATCACAACCATTACAAGAGTTGGCGTCCCAACTCTCTTCCAACTGATTTCCGTAGCTTCGTTGGCGCGTATAGGAAATCAGTCTCCGTGCCCCCTGCTGAAAACAAAAAGAAAACTCAACAGAATCCCTATGAGTCCAAGGGGTACACACACGCACACACTTCACACAGCAGATCTTGCGGTTCTATGGCAAATCACAGGATTAATCCAAGACGGCCCAAAGCTTTCTTCGATGCACCATGGAGGTACTAGAAGGTGAGACTGGACAATTCTCATACTTGTCCTGATGTCTGAGAATTGTTCTATGATGCTACAAGTGCAAATGCAGTGGCAGCCACAAGTGCCTCACAACTCAAAGAGTTTGAAGTATTGCAGTAAGTATTCACTTTGTCATTCAGACTCGTTAAGAGTGGTGTTGTCCTCATTTTATGTTCATCACCATTCTACAATAAACCCGCCTCTTGCAAAAGCCACATCTCATCCCATGCTCATCGTACCTGGTCTGCTGACTCAGTGCAAAGAAGACTTCCAGTCACATTGAGACTGTCAAATAATCCATGCATGCTCCTATAACTGACACGTGTTGTGAAAGAGGCAAAGACACAAATGATAGGCTGATACGTTTTTGCGCATTGTCGCTACTGCCAAATTAGTGTGCGCCTATAATCTCCTAGCCTCGAGTCCAACTTGTTGTCGCAGTGACTTCCTTAAATTGATCGGCTACATTCACCTATTGAACTGATAACGAATCCACACCTAAATTGAACGAATAAAACTGGGGTGATCCAGTGTGATCTTAGACTATTCATATTGCATGCAGTTTTGAAAACCAAGCATTGCCAATTGATTTGGTCTGATTCCTATCTTTTCACTAGGCCACTGGATCTCGGATTTGATCTGCCCTCCTTCGAAGTACTCGCGCCAGTGCCCAGCCTGGCAAGCTTGTGAAGTGCTGCGAAGCAGCAGAATGAGATATATAAACTTATATAAGAACAAATAACCCAAAAAAATACAAGAATGTAGGGTGTGGTCGGGATTGGGCACAAGTCATCCCTTGGCCATCTGGGGTGGGGGAAACAAATGGACAACACAAAGAACATCTTAAACTCGAGCTAATGGGGCTGTAGGCTTTGCAATTGCATGGCTGCAGGTCCAACAGTACCGAAAAAAATCCTAAGCAGCCGAGACTGTCCGGAACCTTGGGTTTCCGCAGCTTGATCGACTGTCTTAAGTGTGACCGTTGTAAGTTGGCGGCGCAACTCTACAGCAATGTTGTTCTTTCCGCTCTCTTTTTGACTGATGGTAAGCCGCATGTGAATATACAGTAACATTAAATGTGACCCCTAAGGCACCAAATGGCTACCCACATCTTTCCATCAGCCAGTTGTGTGGGTCTCTCCGTTCCTGCCACCAGAAAGAAAATGTCCAACACTTTAGCATGGTACGGTATGGTGGCCTTGCGTGATCTCATTGTGCGTTCATCCTCGACAAAAAACCTCGCATCGACTTGGCGGTCACCGGCATGAATGAACACCAGAATGCAATTTCCTTTCCCTTCAGGTCGTTTGGGGTTAGGATTTGGACACTGGACACTCAAAGCCTCAAAGCTATTATCCTAAATTACGCATAAAGAGTAAAGCTGTATTCTCTGACTGCAGTCTTTTGGAAAGAACACGTGCGCAGGGTCCACATTCACCACGCACACACACTTATAGAAATGCGAACTGATGTGAATGCGGTGCCACACGCCAGCCTAAGTGAAAAACCTAAGAAACCAGGGTGAGTAGAGGGAAAGCTCCACAAATCTCCAAAGCTGAAAGTTCTGAAGTCGCCAAAGCTCAACGACGGTGAGGTCAGCACTAGACGATTACTGCGAAACACAGAATTGGAACAGCTTGTCCACTACGTAGGTTTCCTTCCAAGCAGGTTCGTCAATCCGGCGTCCCGGATTGATTTCACAGATGCAACACTGGCGTCTTCGTTGGTGCCAGCAGTACAATCCGGGTGGATCCCTGTGACTTCAAGGGCACGCACACACGCCTCCCCAAGGGGAGGCAGCTCTGACCTAGTAGCGTCCTTGCACCTAGTAGTAAGGCCAGGAGCCCCTAGTAGCGTGCCACTCTAAGGTCCCGGCAGGAGGGAGGGGTAGGGAGAGAAGAGAAGAAAGAAAAAGAAGAAAGGAAAGGAAAAGGTGTTGTTCCCAGCTACGACACAAGCGTCCAAGGACACACCAAGAGAGGAAGAGAAGGGTTCCCAGCTATGACGAAAGCATCCAGGGACACCCAAAAGAAGGAAGAGGGAAGAGGGAGAGAGGAAAAAGAACGAAAACCGGTGTTCCCAGCTACGCGCAAGCGTCCAGGGACACACCAAGGCGAGGGGTATACCTGAGTGTTGCATTCAGGAATACCCCGAAAAAGGAAGAGAGAAGAAGGGGAGGGTAGGGGGAGGAAGGGGACTAAGGTCCCGACAGACTCCAACGAGTCTTGAACATGCTTCGGCCGCGCTGCGGCCACGTACACCGTGCCAAAATGGCTGGCTGCTTAGACCCCTGCGGTCACGTAGAGGCATGAGCCAGCTTGGAATTCAAAAAATTCGACAGAAATCTGAATTCCCTCGGCCTAGGCCACCTTCGCCCGCTCTGGGCACGTACATCTCCGGGTAGGGGAGATAAAGACAAACACCCGTTCGACGGGTCCACAAGGGCCACTCTTCGGGGTCACCCTGGGCTCTCACTAGGAGAGACACACTTAATAGAAATGCGACCTGATGTGAATGCGGTGCCACACGCCAGCCTAAAACCTACGCAGCCAGGGTGAGTAGAGGGAAAACTCCACAAATCTCCAAAGCTGAAAGTTCTGAAGTCGCGGTCTCCAAAGCTCAACGACGGTGAGGTCAGCACTAGACGATTACTGCAAAACACAGAATTGGAACAGCTTGTCCATTACGTAGGTTTCCTTCCAAGCAGGTACGTCAATCCGGCGTCCCGGATTGATTTCACAGATGCAACACTGGCGTCTTCGTTGGTGCCAGTAGTCCAGTGTGCATCCCTGGCACCCCCTGCTGAATTAGAACATTTAAAGTCGCATATTGTCATATTGAATCATATTGATGCATATTGGTAGTGTACACTCTTATGGTGCGTGATGATTGGTTGATTAAACTTCGACGGCAAACGGCCACTGATCGTAAAATAGCATAGGTACTCAGCACATATATAATAAGAACAATTAGACGTAGCTCGCCACACTTTGCTGCTCTAGGTTTCGTGGCAGCTGCAAAGGGATGCAAGCCACAGCTGGAATGTGCTTCTCTCTCTCTCTCTATCCAGGTACAAGCCAGTCATCATCACAGAGTGGAGACAATGCAAAGCCAGGGAACAGCTTCTCTGATTTCAGCCGCTGATTCTCGTAGAAGTGCTTCCGGCTAAGGTAAGGCTGGCCAGAAGGTGGACATGGGCTCAAACTCTATTGATTCAGATTCTCCAGAGCAAATAATCAACAATCAGCATGAACTTTAACATCCAGATTTGAAACTACGTACGAACTGGGTTTCTTCTTGATGGCCATTCCACACCAAAGAGACAAAGCTTGAACACGAACCCTGACAAGCTACTTTGGACATCTTTCAACATGGTCAGCAAACTAGCCTAGCAAAACAAGAAGTCACGGAGCAATGACCCGCCAGCTTGGAGAATGGATGGAATGGACATTGATGATATTGTGACTTGCTGAACCCGGCACCTGGCCCAATGCGAAATGGACGTCAAGCCGACACACACCTGGATGGCACGGGCTCATGGCTCATGGAGCCAAATTCCAGCCCCAAATCTGTCCTTTGCTGCGTCTTGAACACTTCCGGAAGACAAGTTATAGCATATTATAGCTGCTTCTCAACAACTAACAAAGAAATCAAGGTATAAGTATACAATGCAAATTATTGCACCTTCCTTTCGCTTTCGCCGTTATATAATAGTATCGCACACACAATTGAGTTCAGCGGAAAGTGCTCAGTGCTTTGAGGTCCAACCAAGCAATATCTGGCGTAGCTGTTGTAGCAATAATTATATAATGCTGAAGTAATCTAAAGTATCATAAAACAACATCAAGTGAGTTCGCCACACTTGACAAACAAAAACAGCAAATGCACCGCCAACATCGAAGTGCTTCTCTTCAATGACACGTTCGCATGATTGCCTGAGACGTTCCAGAATGAGTTGGACCTTGACCACCTACACAAAAGGAATCGAGTATGCAGTATTGCTCAACCTTGAACATTGAATCAAAAAGTGTCAAACGACACTGTCTTCAACCGATCATTCAAATTTTATTCATCGAAGTCATGCATCTTGCGCTTGGAGGCGACCAAAGTTACATCTAAAAAAAGGGAAAAATAAGAGAGACCAGCGAGACCCCAATCACGATGACATTTCTTGATATGTCTGGTCTGTGTTCCACTTTGAAGCAATGCAGTCTAGTACATATGGTACACGTAATTGTTGTTTGGCAAAAGAACGCACGCAACCAAGTACCGTGCTCACAATAGGAAGGCGGTTTCAGGGATGGCCTCTGTTTCTCAATTCCTTTGACTACAAATCATACAGTAGATCTTCTGATTTCCTGAGGATCTATGAGGATCTGATCAGCACAATCTTCAAAGCATCTAACAACAAACGAAGCATGGTGAGATTCCGAGTAGACTATAGACTTTCGACCTCATCCTCTAATGAAAGTCCACGCAGTTGAGTCCAAAGTGGCTGGGAGACTGTGGCAGGAAGACGCATGTAGGTCCTGAAGTACCTGCAAGTGTGAGCAGGTTGCAAGCGAGGTCAATAGTCAAGTGTGGCCGTGGTGAGATGTGCGAGTGCTTATGATTGGCTGACCTGAGGCTTGCAATGTCAACGGATACTCGGGCGATCCACCAGATTTTGACAAACACAGGTGTCAGCATCCAGCCAAACTGACTATCATCGAGAGGACGACTATCGAGAGGATATCACCCAAGCCTTGTTATCTGATGTTATCTGGACTTCTGAGGGACTTTCCTAATCACAAAGCGGTCGCTTCACTAAAACATACAAGAACTAAGGACTATCAAACACTAATTATTTCACTTGTCTGGAACCTGGTCAAATTATTAACACTGTCTGAAGTCTGAAGGTTCCATCCAAGGCAGGGGAGTAAAACAAACTATATCGTACTACTGTGCTTATTCTGCCCTTACAAGTCGAGTCCCTCTGGTCGACCCTCCGGTTTTCAAGCTTCCCGTGTTCCGGTACACAACGCCATTCCATCCCAATTGTTTCTAGTTTGTCGCCTCTGCGAAGGATCGTGGTCTTGCCCCGCGTATACGGCGTAGAGTTGAGTGGCATCGTTCTTTTTCAACAGCTCAAACAGTCCACAGCTGCTTGGCGCACTTGGGATTTCCATTGTCATGGTATTGTCTTTCCTTGGCAGTGAGAACGAGTGACACAGAAAATATTGGTGCTGCTTTGGGGAAAGCGACTCTGGAACCCATGATGATATGTCCAAGCATCCGTGTACAAGCGACCATCTGTTTCGTCTGCATCTGAGTCATCCTGACAGGACAACAAGTCCAAAGCCTCAAAAAGCATCATAGCACTCATGCAATGTCTACAGCCAAAAGGTGGATTTCTGTCATGAGCAAGCAAGACTGCTGTGAATCTTGATAAGCCAACAATATGCCATATGCGTACGATTATGCGTACGATTCAAAGGAGCCTACTATTGAACCCTAAACATGTAAACACGACATGTCCTTGCACATATTCCTTGCTACTTAAGAAAGTACAAAGTTCTATATTGCTGTGGACATGGGATTCTGGGGACTACTCTTTGAGTTGCACTCTGAGGAAGTAACAATAAACCTACTATTCCAAGAACTACATTTCCTTTGAGAATGCATCCCTGGGCACCGACAGTGTGACATACACAGTAAACTCAGTAAACAGTAATCTAAAGATTATGTCCGAGTCGCCACACCAGGCACCCTGGCATACCCTGGCATCGCTACTAGGAGCAAAGACATTACTAGGGGCTCCTGGCCGTATTACTAGGAACAAGAAGCTACTAGGGGCATCGCTACTAGGGTATCCCAAAGTCCCCACCTCCTCGCTGTTGTAGCCTTGGGATAGCATCACCTGCGCCCAGCGTGAAAGAAACACGCTGGAAAACATCTGTTGATGTGATCGAAGCATGGGGTCTGCAACTCTGCATTGCAAACCAAGCTGTTCAACAAATCGCCTGACACAAAAACGGTCAAAGCAACATCAAACACATCCTGGCCAGGTAAAACGATATGCTGGCCAGTTGGTAAAAGACTGTCGTAACGGCCCCTTGCCCTTGAGGCCCTGACATCGGTTCGATGCCTGGTATAGATCCTGGCCAATTGCAGCTCCTCCAAAGAGCTCCTGCACCGCTTTAGGTCTGAAGCCCATATCCCTTTGGATTGATTTTTTAAAAATCCCGGGGGGTAGACCGTGTGGAGGTGAGGTAGGTAGGTAACGGTAGCTAGTAGCTTGAGTAGCTACGGACGCGGATAGCTCATGCTTCTTCAAGGAAGCTCCCCCCCGCGGCCCTAAAGGCGGCGGGGGAAGCTTCCTTGAAGAAGTGCTTGCACTAATGATTTGGTTCCTCAATTTTTAGGGAAACTTACTGTAATATCATCTGGAAGAACAACCATGCGCAGCACATGCAATGAACGTACCTATGTTGCATCGAACCAAGCTACGTTGTCGGCCTCCCAACAAGAAAACAATTGAAAACAGCGGCCTGGGTTTCGACCCTTGTTTAAAACAAAGGCTAGGATGAGGCACACCTGTGTAAGTCCAGCAGGCCATTTGCGCCAGGCACGGCCAGTTGCTCCTCAACGACATACATGTGTCGTTAGTTTGTCATGAAGTGTTTCTTGTTTGCTTTGTGTTGTTTCTTGGCTTCCAACACGTCTGCATGACTTCCTCCCCCGAACCTTGTGATTGCATTTCAATGGCTGAAACTGCTTAGAGTCTAATCAAATGAATCGTATAAAATTCATATACAGTATATATATATATATATATATTTTTATACACATACACATACATACAAAGAATGTTTGTCGCGCATCTCCTGCATATGACCGCAGGGCTTCACGCTCTGTTTTTGTCCAAAAACATGTTTTGGATACCTGAAGCTCAAAAACCTCCTTAATCACATATACTCCATTCCTGTGAACACAATGTCAAACAAGGTCTTGAAGGACTCCGTGCGCGCGTCCTTCTTCTCATTATATCCTTGCAACATGAGGGCAGCGCTCGGGTGACGGCATCCGATGCTCTGCTCCAAGTCCCAGGGTTGCTGTGAAAGTATGCCTTCTCAACTTCTTCCTACAATCAAATGGCGCTCAAATGCCTTATGATGTCTGATTGTCTTTGAAATCTGATCATTACATCTGATATTTACAGTAGCTGGTTGCATACTGCCTGGGCATTTCTTTTTCTCAATTGATGTGGTGCTTTCAAGCCAAGGCCAACAGCAATCTCATGTGCAACGGAAAGAAACGTCTTGGAGGCTTTCATGCATCTCGGTGCCTTCAGCTAGCTGTCCCGCAGGTTTACAGTACTGGATAACAGGATCTAGCTGAAATGCATGAAAAGCAATTCAGTTGGGACTCAAAGTGGCATGACGATACTCTCCAAGTTTGAGTGGTTCTATATATTCACAATTGGAAGATACATTTCATTTCAACAAGTGGAAGTGAATTCTTCGAAACACTTGTTCCAATCAGCTTGGGAAAAAAGGCAGTGCGTCTCCACACAACTTTTTCATTGGTGTGCTGAGGTCAGTGGCAGCGGGCCTGAGCAAAACATCTTTTCATCTATCATCTAGCCAAACTGAAATAATGCACAATTGAGGCACTCTGGCCTGAGATAACCAATATTCGTTTGCATCTCCAAAGAATCATGAGGCTGCAACGAAGCCTTGGCAACTATACTATACTTGGTGGAAGAAACAATCCCACACTAGTATCAATAATAGTACATATATGCTGAACAAGATCCTTCATGTGTCATGCCAAATTGTTCAAGTAGCTCTTCTTTGTGTCCAAACCAGCTTCTGGCCCCAAAAAACCTCTTCTCACAGTGCCTCTACTGAGTCATGAATCATAGTCCTTGACATCGGGAATACTTCTTTTGAAGACTTCACCTGGCCAAGATCCCAAGTCCAGATTCTTGCAACTACCGAGCAAACCTTGTACAATTACAACATGTCGTGGCCGATGTGACTTGTGCAGGTTGGTATTGAGACTCTACCTATGGCATTACATCCGTAGACGTAGATCACGAATCATGTACTGGCTGGGATCATCAAGCATAGTTGCATCCGGATTATGGATGTGCTTTATGACTTGCTTGCCTCCCTACTGTTCAACCACAACGGTGTGCTTTTGGCATGCTGGCCAGGCCAGGGAAATACACGCCTGTCTCTGAACTTATGGACTTCAGATTTTAGCAAGCATGGAACCAGGCTTTGTTGTGGGAAAGTATCTTGGTTCCATATCCCCACGGTTTGAACGCCAGAGATCAAGGAAGGCATTGTGGCATTCACCAGGACCAGTCACAACCACACAAGTATAGCCATGCACTATATGTTTAACATATATATAATATAATATTGTATAATGCATGTGCGCTCCTGACTCCTGGCATCGCCCCTCAAAATAGGCCGGACGGACGGAACATCTCCTGGGCTGACATCAAAATGAAGCAATTGGGCTAGAATCCAAATGGTACTTCTTTAAGGGCCTGCAAGTGCATTCGCAGAATATCATTTTCCTGGATCATGTCGTTTACCTTGAGAATAGATCGATGCGAGGCGTACTTCAAACGACCTTCTTCTGCAATCGACGATGTTAAAGTGACATCTCTGGGTAAATCTCATGCCTAGGAGTTGCAAGTGCAAAAGCTCTAATAAGACTCCAACTTATCGTTTTTTGGTCTAATAATGGGAAGCTTGACAAGGCCAAAGCAAGGCCCAAACAAGGATTGAACGAGGACTGGGAGTGCCCACTAAAGATACTAAAGGTGTCTCGATTTTCCCCAGCCTTGACTGCAAATGCTCCATGGGAACTTTCTAGGATAGCAATTGCAAGCTATCACTGACAATCGATGCGAACCCACCAGAACTAGAATCCCAATGGATTGATTTCTGCAGATGTTCAGAAATCGACACAATTTCAATCGGCGGTAAAACAGGTTGATGTTTTGCCAAAACCTTTGGGCATGCAATATTCCTAGCAGGCATGCACAAGTCTGAAAGTACATACAGGAAGTAGCCAACTTCGTCCATGGCCAAGTCGCATAATTCTGATCCTCCACGCTAAACTGAGGGATGGCAAAATGAACTTCTTTGTAGCCCCTGGCCAAAAATGCTTCGCCACTGAAACTGACACAAGACCAAAATTCAATGAGTCTATAGCAGTACTGACAAGGAACCAAATCAGGATTGGCTTCTATTTATTTATATAATTCTATTTGGTTTGAACTACGAGTACCTATATAATTAGCCTATATGTACCTATACATTTGCATCATTCTGCAGCATAAAGCACCACTGGCTGGGTCTGAGTGATCTGAGCCCCCTTTTGGTCTGCGACAGTGGCAACACGTGGCAACTGTGACAACCAAATCTCCAAAGTCTGGCTATATTCCAGGGGTCAGGACCCAACCCAACCCACCCTGTTGTCCAAATGCTGCCAGCCCGGCTGTCCAAGTCCATCTTCCACCAAGGCTTTGATGAACAGTCCGGCTATCTGCACTGGATTTCCACCTGGCAAAAAATGAACAAATGAAGCCGCTGCTGTATTTGTGGTTTTGAAGACCTTTAAATCATCACAGATTGCAAAGCCATGTCAAAAGAAAGATTCAAAAGGCCATAGATACGCCACAAACAAACCAGTAGGATTGATTTGAAGCCCTGAGATGTCTCACTGATGACAATCCAGCTGAAACCTCGTATGATCTGAGAGGGCGTTTACTTTTTGCTGCTTGAGTACACTTAAGTTGTATCCTCAATAAATCGTTTCTCTGGAGCTTGCGAAAACAGATCCTTCACAGTAGAGCTAGCAGCTACAGTAGTTGCATGAAAATCGTACTTGGACACAAACCTCTACACCGGTGGACTAAAGTTGGTCAGAATGAACGGCATCAAAAAGCATCGTGAAGCCAATTTTGCTGAAGGAACCAAATGCTCCGCAGCCCCAAGCACCCAAGACCAGCGTGTCAATCGCGCCTTAAAACAGGCCGCTTCACTCTGATAACTGTTTTCCATTTAGTGACGTGACAGTTTGTACGAGGATGCTAAACATGACGAGGCTAGCAAACCCGACCTGGACCTTAGGCTCCTCAGGTCCTATAGGTATCCAGCCCGAGTTGAGCAGCATATCTTCATGCAAGAATGATCGACCACAACTCCAAAGCATGTGTATATATATATATATACTGTATATATGCTTGAACCTTTTTATTATGTATCATTTTACAATACAGTATCTGCTTCTAAATCAGGGGGCTGAACATTCTTTCAGTACTGCCCCCACTCTACCTTTGGATCCCTTTGGCACAATACCAGTTGACAGAAGCAACTCCCCTTTTTCTGAAGGCACTCCAGCGACAAATGGATGCACACTCATGAAATTCTCGGTTCACTACACTCTACCTTGGCTAAGCCCATCTACGTCTAGGCATCCCGACCACTCTCGGCCACATGGGGTGCGTTGAAAATTGTCATCATGGTCCTGCATTCAACGGACTCTAAGCGGGCGGGCAGTGACTCACGTGCTTGCTTTTAACTACTACCACCACACTGACCCACTCAAAACTCCGGCCCGATGGCAAGTACAGGCAAGGACCGGTTTGGGTCTTGTCTACTGTATCCAAAAAACAATGCAAAAAGCCCCTTCGCCACAAGGCCGAATTGGCCTTGTTTAATGTAGGAATGGCTGGGTGAGTTAATGACATGCACCTTTTACATTTCAAGTTGCTTTACGACAAACACAACTCACCAGGTTCCCAAAGAATCCAACATTCTGATAAGTTATGCAGGGTTCATACATATTTCTCAAGGATTTCACACGTCCAAGGAGTTACCAAACGTCCCTATTTGAGTCAGGCCGGGGAGGACAAAAGCACGGAATCTGTTGCGAAGCATCTGAGAGCAGCAAACAATATCACTCGTATGAGCTGCAACAGGTTGCACGTCTGGCACTCTGGCACTTTGCAGACTGTTGCATGAGCCTTCCTTTATCTTGATTTCATGCACCATTGAATTGTTCACACCAGCAAGCCTGGAGGCATTTTTTGATTCAGAGTCTGTGCCTATCTGTGTTTCTTGGTTGCGGAAAGGACGTCCGAAAGAGACTCTTGATATGGGTCACATTAGCTAGTGCACGCACTGGGTGACACAACGGCCGCTCCTGTAAATCAGCTTTTCATCGTTGACCTGGTCCATGCAGTCACCCGCTCTGCAAAAGGTCTTTGATGTATTCGGCAAAACTGGCTACTCCCTCCATCACGCATCCCTCGCAGAAAGCTCTTAGTGAAAAAATATATTTGCTCTCTCAAGGTTCGGCTCTGCGGTTTGGGATTAGTCCGATGCTAAACTTGAGCTTGATCTTAGCACTATGTGGAGTATGCACACTCCTCTTAGGGTCTGACCTTCACCCAAAGGTCAAGTGAAACACCACACTTTTCTCTTGTTTCCACTTGCTGCATGGAGCAAGGAGATTCTTCTTTCCATGAAGCCTCTCTTGGTGTCCTACAGGATGGTTCAAGATTGCACTGCTGCCAAGCGACATCCTTGCTGAACTTGATGTTTGGGGCAGCTGCTGCAACTAAAGACCTGACGAGCAGCGACCCTTTCCATGGAGGCGTCGTCTCTGGTCTGTCTATTCCTCACTGTGGGATTAGAGGCCGGATGAGGATTGAAACCCCAAACATAATGATGGTAGGTTGCTTGGACTGAGATACAGGAATGTTGCGATGGACAGCTGATGCAAAAGATGAGCAAACACTGATTCCAAATAGCTGGTGAAGCGGATCCAACCTTGTTGGATATGTTGTCAGCGGTCCGTCAATAAGATGCGTGGGCTACAACAAATCTGACAAGTGCAAAAAAACACGATTCACTAGAATTATAAGAAGATATCTGCGCTCCCTGAATAGGCACAAAGTTGAAAACAACAACTTGAGAAAATTCAGAGTACGACGATGACGATGGAGATACTAGTTCCACTATATTATATAACTACATATTACACTGAAATCGCGAAACACAACTAAATGAAAACAATGCTTTCGCC